TCATGTTTATTTTTAGACATATGCTTAGGGGTGTTCGACAGGTAGGACTCGGGCACTCGTCATGGCCCATCGGTTTGGGTCGTGATAACGGAGATGGGAACAAACAAATCTTGGCTTCTTAAGGAAAGAATAGACCTCAAAAGTTTAATAATAATTTTTGCCTGCAGAGATGCATGACTGAAATGCACTCATTTTTACCTGTAGAGACATATGACCGAAGTGCCTAAAAAGGTATTGGCGAAGAAGTAATGGAGGATTTAATATAGATTGAAAAGAGGGCTAAGTTAGCTAACGAATGGGTTGGGATTCGCCTCGCCCTAGTATACCAAAAAGAAAGAAAAAGAATTGGCCGCACTTGAGTTATTGTTGTCTACACTATATCCAAAATGACTGAAGTGCATGCAAATTTTTACAGTCATGTGTGTTTGAAGTCATGCAATTATGTCTAATATTTAGCTGAATATTTTTTTGCCTAGAACAAAAAACTTGTTCTTCGAATTTCAACAATTCAACACATGATTTAACGCGCTAATTTACTCTAAGTGAGCTCAAATTTGAAACATAAATTCTAAATATTATAAAGAACAAACTAAATCATCAATTTATCAAAATAACAACAAATCTAACAAACTCATCTTATAACAATGGCGATTTGATAATATTTTTTAATCTTTTTCAACAATACCTATTTGATTTAAAATTCACTTTTTATGTTCAAATTGCAAGAATCATATTGTACAACAATTCGGAAGTAAAATGAAAGAAGAAAATAATAAGAAGAAGAATGACGACGATGACGACAATGAAGAAGAAGAGGAAGAATAAGAGAATAAGCAGCTTTGTATGAAGTTACCTAATTATCACGATCCAAATCTCACTGAGATTGCGATAGCGCCTAACTCGATCCGCTAGGCAAGGCAACCAATAAAAATACAACTCAAACTAAAGATTATTAAATAAATAATAAAACTAGAACACGAAATTTAATACAAGTTATCCCAAGAACTTGTTTTACAAGTCATGAGCAACCAATATTAGTATTACGATGTTGATATGAAGAAGATACATCATTTGTTTGATTGTACATAAGCTTAAATATACGTTCTAAACTGCCATGAACAAAATGGCAGCTAATAACTTGAACGTTCAATATCTTTAATGCTTGCCCTAGAACTTCGCAATAACTTAGCTCCAAAATCTACACGCAAGATGCAGAAGTATAGTATCAGTATAATCGATCTCATGTATTCAGTAAGTATTAAGACTAACATCAACAAAGTAGTGGCGAGGTTTAGTCTAAATATACTCACTTTATGTAACTCGTGCAGTTCATAACCATAAATAATAACAGAGAAATAGCCAAGAACAGCCAATGAACAACATATACCAATAATAAGATGCACAATTAAATATGAAGGCAATAAGCATTTTTTTCGGATAACCAAATAAAAAGCATATACAAATGGACCAAATTCGCATGTACAGGAGATATTCACCAAATAGCACTAATTCGAATTTAGATGAGTCTAGAGTGTACTTTGCACGATAAAGACTCAATTTCAATCAATCTCTAGATAACATATATAAGAAAACCTTTTTACATGAGTCTAGAATATCTAAGCATAATAAAGACTCAAACTTTACATAAACTAACACCCTCCAGTGTCTAAAAAACTGTTAACTAGTCTCATAAATGTATAAAATGCATCAAATAGCATACATAGATGATATGCATGGATATAGCATGTAAAAATACATGAATAGGCATAAAGGATTCACTTAAATTAAATAAAACTTCCATTTTTATTCTTGTCACTACCTAATTTCCCATCATAGGTCATGATAGCACACAATGCTACCGTCAGGCAAGCCAACAATAAGTTATCACAATAATTGACCACTCATAACACTTTTTAAACTAAACGATGGAAATAAATAAGTGAAAATAAATTTGGGAACCATGATAAGGTATTATCATCCTTACCAAGATACGAAATATGAACAAACTAATAAGCTGAATGATATAACAACAAATACAATCATGAACATCTCCTAAATTTTCCAAAACTCGGTATCACAAGTGCATAATTATCTACAAGAAAATACAAAATTACTATAACTATTATCTGAATGAAAAGTAAATAGAATACAATAGATATAAATGAAGGAGACTTTGTGTGTTGCGGCCCGAAACAAAGAATGCAGCTCACAACTAAGTCTCCCAATAAGTATGTCTACGCGCGTGGGTGACCACCAGAAGTACATGTATCAGTACCTGTACAATTAGTGCAGAAGTATAGTATGAGTACATAAATCAATGCGTACTCAGTAAGTATCTAATTTAACTTCGAAAATGCAGTAGCGAGAGATCAGCATCGACATTTACTAGTGGTCCTATAATATATATATACATATAAAAGTAGACAAGTGTGAAGCATAGCAAATAGCAACGAAATAAATAAATATGTATAACATGAATCTCAATAGAAGGTGTCCAAAGAATTTCAGAAATTGCTTCGGTAAAACCACATACTAAGCTCTCATTCATCATGCTCTCGATGCACGTTAATTAACGTACGCTGCATGTGTTAGCCATGGCGAAAGGGAGAGGTAGAGGACGCGACAGGCCTAAGATGCAACCCCTGGCTAACTTTGTAAGCTTGATGGTAACACGTAACCAACCACTGATGGAGAAATTGATGTAAGAGATAACTACACCAACCTCAATCCCCATTGTAGATCCAGCTACTATTGGAGGAATTCCCTATTGTTATGCCACTATGGGTAAAGTTTCCTAAATTACCTATGTCATGCTGGGGAGCTGGCTCTTTAAGCATGATTGCTAGTATAATTGGGACCCTTGTATTTGACGATGAGTGCACTACTAAGCAGACTCGAGTATCTTATGCTCGAATGCTTATTGAAGTTGATATAACCAAAGAACCGCCCACTTAAATCATGGTTATGGACCCTTATGGAAAGAAGTTTCAACAATCTATAACCTATGACTGGAAACCTGCTTATTGTGATAAATGTTTGGTTGTTGGATATAAATGCACTACCTAAGCACACCTTGTTATATAACAACCAAACCATATAAGGAGGGAAAGGGTAACAAGGTTGTTACACAATAATAGAGAACCAAAGGGCCCATACATGTTATAATTGAACCTCAGAATGCAAAACAAATTGCACCTGTTGAACAAGAACTAGAGGGTAATAACGTGGAAGTTGCAGGCCAAACATGAGTAGCAAGGTTAGCTGATACTATGGGGACTAAAGAGCCATCTCAACACAACACAACCTTACCTGTAGGTGCAAAGGAGAAACAGGATGACAGAGGCAAAGCAATGCAGAATATCATTGAACTTAACTTCACCAGCTTCCCAACTTTGACCCCTATCCCAATGAAGAATATATTTGAAGTTGTATCAACAAGTAGATATGAGGATCAAATACCACATGGGGATAGAGGTGGAAATACCATGTAACTATGATGAATCGGTTGTTCTAGAACATTATGAGTGTAAATAAAAGGTATAAACAAAAAGAGGTAATAGAGTATATTAGAGTAAATAAAATTAAGTTGTTAGGACTCATAGAAGTTAAAGTGAAGGAGCATAATGCCCAGAGGATGCAAAAGCTATTGTACCTGGTTGGAAACTACCAAGATACAATCAATAATAGAATTTGGATACTATGGGATACCACTAACCTATTGGTTAATGGTATTAACTATGATGCTCAAATGATACACTGTTAGATAAAAAGTAAAAGAAGTGATATTGACTGCTTACTCACAGTAGTGTATGGATACAACGGGATTGAACAAAGAAGGACCCTCTAGGATACTCTACAACAACTCTCATTAAATATAACAGTCTCTTAGATGATAGCTGGGGATTGTAATGCAATGTTATACCCCAATGTTAGGTTATCTGGTAACCCAGTAAGCTACTCAGAAATCCAAGACTTTACTGCCTGCCTTCAGAACACTACATTAATAGAACTACCTTGGAAAGGTGATTACTATATATGATTTAACAAGCAACATGGATCTGATAGGGTTAGCAGTAGGTTAGATAGAGTGTTTGGCAATTATGAATGGATGATGTCCTGGGGTCATATAGAAACAAACTATGAATTGCCTTAAATATCTAATCATGCTCCTAACTTTGACATCTTCCACATGGAAAATGTAGAGTGCCTTTCAGTTTCTTTAACATATGGACAGAACATGATGACTTCACTCAATTAGTTACTAGCATACGAAGTTCACATAGTCCACAGGGTAGTTTGAAATCAGTTTGGGCAAGATTGAAAGATCTGAATCTTGCTTTGAAATCTCTGAATTCTAAGGAATTCAGTGGCATAACTCATAAAATTGAGAAGGCTAGAATTGAGCTAAGTGACATACAAGGAAAAATTTCACAAGGTTGCACTGATACTTTACTTAATATGGAGAAAAAAGTCATACTAAACCTTGAGAAGTGGTCTTTAATTGAAGAAAGTGTCCTTCAACAGAAAGCTATAGCAAAGTGGATACAACCGGGAGATTCAAACTCTAAGTACTTCACCGCAGTGATGAAGGATAGAAGTCAAGAGAAGCAAATCATAAAAACTACAACTTTGCTAGGAGACAAGCTGACTGACCTTGATGCTATCAAAAGAGAGATTGTTGATTTCTACAAAAGTTTAATGGGAACAACTGCAACTACTTTGCCTGCCATCAATAGAATATACATGAAGCATGGGCCTACACTATCTTACCAACAAAGGGTTGATCTATACACAGAAGTAACCAATTAAGTGATCGTTGAGAGCCTTAAAGCAATTGGTGATGATAAAGCTCCAGGCATTGATGGCTTTAATGCAGTTTTCTTCAAGAAAGCCTAGGACATTATCAATATACAGATCATAGATGTTGTAAAAGAGTTCTTCACAATTGGGAAGCTCTATAAGGCCATAAACTGCACTACTATTACATTGGTGCCAAAAGTGAATAAACCTACCACAGTCAAAGAGTACATACTAATAGCCTGTTGTTCGATCCTCTACAAGATGATCTCTAAAATCTTGGCCTCCAGATTACAGAAAGTCATGCCTTACACCATTTGTGAGGCTCATGCAAGCTTCATTCATAGTAGAAAGATTACTGATAATGTCATTCTAGCTCATGAGCTAGTTAAATCCTACACAAATGCTCAGATTTCTCCTATATGTATGATAAAGATTGATCTTCAAAAAGATTATGACTTAGTGGAATGGATCTTCTTACAACAAGTTATAAAGGAGATTAGATTTACTGACAGGTTTATCAGATGGATAATGGAATGTATTAAGACTGTCAACTATATTATTCTTATGAACGGGGAAACCATAGAACCATTAAATGCTGCCAAGGGTCTTCGATAAGGAGATCCTATTTCCCCTTTTTTCTTTGCTATAGTGACAGAATACCTGAGTAGATCACTGCATGAACTTAAGAAGGAGCCTGACTTCCAATATCATCCCAGATGTAGGAAGCTTGGTATCACTCATATGAGTTTTGCTGAGAACCTTCTGTTATTTGCTAAGGGTAATCTATCTTTTGTGGCTACACTTTACAAATGCTTTACTCGATTCTCTCAGGCATCATGCTTTCATGCTAATCTAGGAAAAAGTTCAGTATATTTTGGTGGTGTAAAACAAGTTGTGAAGGACCAGATATTGGCACACCTAGGATTTACAAGCGGATCCTTACCCTTCAAGTACCTAGACATCCCTTTGTCTACAAAGAAAATAGCTCTTATAGAGTGGCAACCATTGATTGAAAAGATCACATCCAAGATTTCTTCCTCGACAACTAAAAAGTTATCTAATGCTGGTCGTGTACAGCTGGTCCAATTTGTAATATTTTGTATACAAGCATATTGAGCTCAATTGTTTATCTTACCTGCTATGGTGCTGAAAATGATAGAGAAATTTTGTTGAAGTTATATTTGGTTTGGAACTAATACAATAACCAAGAAGTCCTTAGTAGCATGGGAAAAGATTTATACTCCCAAGTCAGTTGGTGGACTTAACCTCATCAACCTTTCTCTTTGGAACAAAGTAGTTATTGCCAAATCTTGCTGGGAGTTAGCACATAAACAGGACAAGCTATGGATAAGGTGTATCAACGTATATTACATCAAACACCAACAACTCCAACATATGCCTATACCTCAGCAAGCTAGTTGGATGGTGAGACAAATAATAGGATCCAGAGCAACTCTGTTGCAGACACAAAATATACATGATAACAAGAAAAGTATCATTAGACAAATATACCTGCAGCTCCTAGGTGAATTACCAAGAGTAAACTGAAAATGTCTAATTTTTCATAATACTGCTAGGCCAAAAGCAGTCTTCACTATGTGGTTGTTGCTACATGGAATATTACCAACTAAAGATAGACTAGCCAACTCGGGAATAATTGTTACCTCTCAATGTGTTATGTGTTAAGTTCAGGATGAATCAAGGGAGCACCTCTTTGTCACATGGCCATACATTATTGAAATGTAGAAGAAAGTAATGTCTTGCGTCCAAAGATCACAAATGTCTACCACTTGCTGGGATCAACATCTTCAGTGGATCATCAAACAATGAAAAGGGAAGTCCAGAAGGCTAGCATCTTCGAAATTATCTATGTTGAGGTTTCGCATGCAATATGGATAGAGAGAAATATGCGTATATTTTAGCAAAGGTATCGAGGGAATGATGTCCTGGTGCGGGAGATTGCACACTTATGCAATGCTAGAGTAGTTGCTCGATCTAGGAGTTACATACAACAGTTTTGGTTAGGAACACAGTAGATTGACTAGTTTGTTTTATAAATAGGTACATATTATTTTTGTCTTTCAGTTTTGAGATAACAAGCTGAGTTAGCATGGCTATGGTTTTCTACAGTCCTTCTTTGGTGATTAATACAAAAGATATTTAATTACCAAAAAAAATCTCAATAGAAGAATAAATACGAAATCGTCAAATACCGAATAGTGCCTCGAATGGAATATATATGACTGATATCTTGTGCAAATATCAAATTCGGTCAGGATACTCATACGTGCAGTGACTCCCTATCGAAATATTATGTACGATTTTGCTGAGGGGAACAACCCAATCCGGTAAGAGGGGTGTTACATGATACTTCTGAGGTCGTATAGCCCGATCCCATAAGTGTGTCTCGTAATACTGCCGAGGCGAACAACCTAATTCCATAAGAATAGTGAAACTTTCAATGTGTCACTAGCCCAACTCGCAAAGATACATGTGAGTTTAAGTAATCATGAAACTACCTATCAAATAAGCACAACACGAGGATATGAACATAAGAAAAAATATAACTCTACCGATAGTCAAGTATCCCGCCAAATCTTAAAGCAACAAGGCTCAGTGAACTATGTAAATTCTAATCTCAAGCTGAATCATGATTTCAAGTATTTAAACACTCAATATTAATTCAATTAGTACATTTAAAGTATGATATAAGTTTAGGTCTGCCCGAACATATTGAGAATCTATCATATGCATGGACGCTCGTCACCTCGTTTATACGTAGCTCCCATAACACGTAGCACATAGTAAATAGAATATCTACGAGGATAAATTCCCTCTTATAAGATTAGACAAGAGACTTATCTTGCTCCAAATCCAATAATCGACTCCAACACCTCTCTAACACCTCAAACTAATGCCAGGTGACCCGCAACTAGCCAAAATAATGTACAAACTACTCAAAATATACTCGAAACCCCATAATTTAACTATTAGAATCAATTCCCAACCCCACACGAAAAGTCAACAAAAGTCAACCCGGGCCCACGCTCTCGTATTTTGGAAATTCACGAAGATAAATATTACCCATAGTGTCATGAACTCAAATATATAATTTATTTTTAATTTAATATCCAATTTCGTGGTCAAATCCCTTTTTTACCAATTCTAGGTTTTCCAACAAAATTTCATAATTTCTACCAATATTCATGTACAAATTCATATATAATCCATGTATTTAGCTCACAATAAGTAGGAATCACTTACCTAATGATACTTGAGGAAAATGGCTCTTCAAGAAGCTCATAAATCGCCCAAGATAAGAGAAAATGAGATGAAATGAGTTAAGTCCCGAAATTAAGTTTTATATTCTGCCCAGGCATCCTTCATCGTGACTCGAAAGCACCATCGCGAACGCGAATGCCAACACTGTCGCAGCCTAGTCCGCTTCTTCGCATTCCAAACATCCAGCCGCATTCGCGAAGGCCACTAGCATCCAACCCTTTTGTGTTCACGGACCCCCAATCGCGTTTGCGAAGGCCAAGTCATGCCGGAGACACCATCGCATTCGCAGAGAGGAGCCATGTCCTCCATCGTGTTCGCGGGACTTGCTTTACGTTCACAAAGAGAAATAGCTGCCCCTCTAATTTTTCTTCTTCGCCATAGCGGGACCACATAACTACAACTCACATAATGTCTTTAAAATACTCAACCAAACTCTTTTTCAGCAGCTCAACAACGAGGGAGAACAACATTCGTGAACTACATAACTACAACTCACATAGAGAACTAAATCACAACACTACCAAAATATAAAAAAAAATATACATTGTGGTGTACAATCCGATCTGATACACCAAATATTATTACAGCGAGCAACGATCCTTATCATAACATTATTACATCGACAACCCGATCCAACATATCAATTTACACGTATCATTCAACAACACATCAAAATATAGCAAAATCCATATTAAATATCGAAGAGAATGAAATAATATAACTCACTAAGGAAAAGATGGACTAGAACGAAGAAATGTCAAACCCTAAGTTTTAGAGCTAATCTTACTCATGTAACGTAATAAGGATCCAAACAAGGTTATTAACATGCAAACGATCAAATAGCGACGCAATCCAATACCACAAAGAAGAACGAAGTATGAAACGATTAAAGGCATGCGACAAGTAACACAAGTAATAAGTAAAGTCACGCAACATGTAAAGGAAAATAACAGGTAAAAACATGTAGCAAGTAAGAGTACGTAGTAGGTATAGGCATAAATCAAGCAAAAATATTTAATGAGTAAAATCATGAAATAAGCAAAGGCATTTAGCAAATAATCTCAAAAAATAAGTAAAGAGATGAATAAATTAGTCCCACCCACATGCTTTTAGCCTATGAAAATGCATATGTACTTTTCACTTTGCATATACACGGTCCTCATTTAGAACATATAGAAATTAGACCAATTGTTACACCTCATATTTCGGTATGTATAAGTATGTCATAAGTCAATTAGTGTAAGCTATGAGATCCACTTTGAAAGTATATAAAGTAAGTTAATCATGTTACATTGGATGTTACAAATATTTAAGATCATGATCATCAAGTACCAATAGGGTTGGAAGGTTTAGAAGCTAAACGAATCGAGGAAAATAAGTTTCATCGAAAGTCGAAAAGTTGGGAATGTTATAACGTGTACTTTTAGGGTGAGACTCGGGTGCTTAACATGATAAGAAGGTGATATTATGAGGTATTTTAGTCGTATGATAGTCGCATATTAAGTTTTGAATTCAAGCGAGTTATGAAACAAAAGTCGACGGAAGGCATCACAAGTTACGTTCATAAATTTTACTGAAATTTGGGTTTAATATAAATGAGTCTTTCTCCCAATATACTTGGAGTTACGGGGTGATCCACCCGCTAAATTAAAGGTCTATGAGTATAGTTTTCAATGCGTTAAAGCGTTTGTCCATGAATCATCGACGTAAAGATATTCGCATTTTTGCGAAACTGCGTAGACTGGTAGGTGACAAGTGGGTGTGTTGTAAGGCCCCATAAAATTTCGTAAAGGAATTTAAGGTTTCGTGGTAGCGGGGGTAGGCTTACGTGTTTGAGGATTGCAAAAATTCTTCGCGGTGAGCTTGCTCGCCGCGGCTCAGACTTTTTGGGTTGAACAATGCGTTGGGGAGTTGAAGAAAATCTTCAAAAGCATAGGGTATTTCTGTGGTTCATTCTGTGGTCGTAGAATTGATATGCGGACCGCAGATTTGGTCTCGAATTCAAGCAGGGAGATTGTTGAATATGAAGTTCATTTTTGCGGTCCATTATGCGATCACATATGCACTTCGCGGACCGCATTTCAGTCGCAAACTTGGCATGAGGAAATCTGGAATATGATTATGTGGTCCAGCCTACGGTCGCAGAACAAGTATGCGGACCGCATAACAGGTCTGCGCACTGCAGAACTGTCGCAAACTTGGTCAGGAGAGTCTAGTTTTTGGGCATCATTTTCGCGACCATTATGCGGGTTGCATATCGATTATGCGGCACGGTCTGCGATCACATACCTAGTTTCGGCAAGTTTAAGTTTTAGAAATTTTACCCGATCCCATTTTTATAAAAAAGGCTTTGGGGGTCATTTTTAAGGGCTTCATCTGATATTCTTTTTAGAGAGGTGAGAGTATCTTAGAGAGAGAAAGAGAAGACCTAGCCATTTATTCATCATTTCTTGCTCAAGGCTTGAAGATTTCACAAGGATCTTGCTAGGGCTTCAAAGAGGTAAGAATTTCTTTCCCTAATTCTTCAATTTCGAGTTTGGGATAAAATATTGGTGATTGGAAGTATGATTCTTGGGTGTGAGAATATTATGTATACATGCATATACCAATAAGGTTTGTGAGAAGATTGTTGAGCACAAATAAGTAAAGATTGGGTTGTGGAATGAAGGAAATCTTGTAGAAGAACCTTGCAGCCAAATTTACACACCTAGTGTTTGATAAAATGCTCAAATGAGTTGAAATCATGAATATCTTCCTAATTTGTGTTCAATTTTTTTAATATCTCAAAATAGATTGGGATTGCTAAGATTTTCGGAACGTTGTAGTAATTTAAG